GCTTATAAATCATTCTTTGGCATAGAATTTTATGAAAAAGAGCAACGACTCTCCTCTCAGAATATGAACCAAAGTTGGAACAATATATGCATGAATCTTATAGATAACATGTTTGATTTATATATCCTGCATAAAGACCTATAACATATAAAAGACAACAAAGTAACCCAGGACTTCATTCAAAATCTTCACTTCTCTCAGTTTATCTAAAATATGCAACGAAGTACTCTATACAACAAAGTAGAGAAAACAAGAAAAGGGAACGTCTGAAATAGAAAACCACTAAAATATTATAAAATGCTATAGCCAAAATTGCTCATGAGGTTTTTGCTCAGCCAGGTAACAAGATCTAATGAGTTAATAATTCCCCATAACAAGGTATGGCAACAACTAAAACCCTTAAAAAATTAATATAAAGTCAACCAAAGACATTATTTCACATAACAATATGCTATATATCTCCATAACATGCATTGAATCCAAATTCAATGAGAAAGGAAGAAGCAAGCAAGAAAAAAAAAGCACACTACACAGAAATTCAGAGACATGTGCAACCCCCATTTGAACCTTATGTTATGCATTTATGGTAAAGCAGAAGAACGTGCCGCTTGGATGATTAATTTTCAGCTGTCTATGTTCCTGGGTCAGACAATGAACTACAATCATGCAGTCAGCTATATTTTTCCTCAAGACTCATATAAATAAAAATTCTATGTAGAAATCCAACATTGATCCAAACAATTTGGAGATAATAATGAGAATGTTATACTAAACAAATTTCATCCTCAAGCCATGTGAGGATATGTTAGCGTTTGTGAATGTATTTAGTTTCTATAGATACAAAGCATTAAATATGAGTATCCCAAGCAAGCTCTTAGAGATTAAATTATTTTCAACACTCTCAAAACAAAAGCACGAGAACAAGTCGGATACGACATAACCTCACCACTTGAAACTACCATACCCTGCATTTCCATCTTAACCATCATTCTAGTTTTAGGTGAAATTTGAAGGTCATAATTGAGTAAATCAGAAGATCAGCCATTTGAATAACATCTTTTAGAGTGTTACTCATCAAATATGGAAAATAAAGATGCATTAATCAGTTAAACGCACAGAAACACCATAGGATCACTGTTTACAAATCCTGAACCTTAAAAATGCTTGTCAATTAACTATAATTAATGAACCTACTGAAATATGAAAGAACATTTTCCATCCTGAAACATCATAAAAAAGAAAAAGAAACTTTAATTCCAATCCTATTATAATTGTCCTAGATTTTAGTTCCAATAAAAACCAACAAAAGAAGACTGAAATTTTGAAATTTCAAAAAGATGTGGACCGTAGAATCAAGCAGCCAATTAATGCATCAAAGTTTTGCTGCAATTTAAAAATTAATGTTTTAAGCCTAACTAAACCAAGTCGATTATGTAGCTAATCAATGGCTCCAAAACTGTCTGATCATCATTCACATGAGTTGTTTGACTATATTATATGTGGCTGAGTCAACTATTAAATATAAATCCAAAAGATTACTCAAACATTAAAAAGAACAACAAATCATAGTACTTGACATAATGTACCATAAACTAATAATAATCTTGTCCATATATGCAATTTCAAACAGAACTACAGAAGAAGCCTGTACACACAATATGGTATAGAAAATGTTGTCCTCCATGTACCAGACAAGTGAAAGTTCCCCCCCAAAAAAGAGTATCTAAATAAATTATAAACTCTGAGCTGCAATCCTGTTTCATTATGACAGTCTACAAACAAAGACTCAGTATATAAGCCAACCTTACCAGTGGAGAAAATTGTTTCTTACTCCAGTTACCATAATTTTAGAAAAGGATGCATTAAAATAATTTGCTCTTGGAAGATGTCATTTGGCAGGCACACATTCCTCTATTATCTTCTATGAAGAAAATAAATCTCTGTGGTGTGAAGTTTGTACAGATACATGAAGACATAATTGATATGGCCAAGCATATGACAGTGACTTTGGCTCCATGAACTCAAGGACATCATTAAGCCTAGACAAATTTCACAACATTTCTTCACTGCATTCTATTAGCTCTTTGTTTTTCCAAATACCTTTATTTTCTCAATGTTTTATTTGGCAATTACATCTATAATGCTTGCTTATCAACAAAAAAGGCCTTTTTTTAGGATATCTCTAAAATAAACATCTAATTCGAAGTTGTTTCTTTAATGTCCACTTCTCATTTTCTATAAGTTAAAAGCCCACAAATATTTTCTTTAACTCAAATATGGAGACAGACTCTAAATTGTATTAATATAGATACTGCTCTAGCAAACATGGAAAGAAAGAACCTAAACTTTCTTTTCAAGACCTGTTTAGATTTTTCTTTACAAATTAAGGTCAGATTTACAGAAGAATCCATGGCTAGAGACATAGGAGGCTAAATAACATATAAACCAAAAAGGGTATCCCATTCAACTACATTTTCTAAGAGAGATCAAAATCCCAAACACTAATGTAGACTTGCTCATGCCAGCCCCAGTGGACGAACCTTTTTGGCACATTCTGTGGTCAAAACCCAACAAAGAAGGACACGAAGGAAAATTTAAACAGCCCACCTTCACCAAAATTACTTCACTTAAGGAACACCCTAAAGATTTAAAAAACTAAAGAAGATTCTTCAAGTGAAAATGTATGCCATCAATCAATCAGAATAGCATATGTTTTTGAATATTTTTCTCAACAAATAGGCAAGATGCTCTCTAGAAATAATTTGTCAACAAAGCAATTCTCAGCTATCTTTTATCTAATTGGTGATCCAAGAAATCTTGTGCTTCCCCATTTCTAGTTTGAAACCAAACATCCCAAGAACAACCACGATGGCTTGAAGACGACAACAGGAACCTTCCTTACAAACCGTAGCAACATATTATCTGGTTAAACAGAACATAAAGGACAGCTTCTGATACAATACAATGATGCACATTTCTAACGAGGAAAGACAGATTACCCCCAGAAATCTTCGACAGTAGAGAAGGTGTGGACGGGTCGGATGGAACTGCCCCAAGCGACATGTTTGGATTTGCCTGAGGGATTGTCGAACCAGAAAGTCCAAGAGTGTTCCAACGGGTGGATCGCCATCTGCTTCCGCCGTTCACCGCCGCCATCTACTCCGTCGCCGGCGCCCTCCTCGTCCTCCCTCCCTGCCCTCCGCTGCTCCATCCCCGAAGGTGGGGAATCCCCCACAATTTCCTCGTCCTCCGCTTCCTGCCTCTCCACTTCCGCGTCCGCCGCCTCCGAAGTGGCATTTCCCATCCCTCCGTCGCCGTTCTCGACCGCCATCGTCGCCGCTCCCGTCGCTCTCTGGCTCACTCCGCTTCCAATTCGAACTAAACCCTATCGCAATCTGACGGACCCACAGCGATTCATATATATATATATATATATACCCCTCATTTTATTTTTTTCCGAAATAATATTTTTAACTTTAAAAATATTTAAAATATATCTCAAAAAAAATTTGTCAAATTTTTGTATTCGTTTTTTTTATCAATTTTAAATTATTATAATATTTTTATCTGTCTCACTTATTTTGTTCATAATGTTTTGAGTTCTTCGATAAAAACATAATAAATAAATGACACCATATTGTGGTTACGTTTATAAAGGTTACGAGTCTATTTAATTTATTTATTTTTTTTATATTATTTTTATTATGATGACTATAGCATCATAGTAAGTCAATTTTTTTATTTATAAACTATTATAAATAATTATTTGAATCATAGTATAATATGTCAAGTGGCTTTCAATATACAATTATTTGATTCCATTTAACTTTTATACAATGTTTTCAAGTTGGTTTTACATTGTTTGTGTTATGGTGATCAAACCGCCAAAACACTATAACAAGTCAAAAAAATTATAAGATTGAAAAATTCAAAAATATGGGTATTTTCGAGCTTTTTCTATATATAAAAAATGGTTATAATGATTATCTTAAATTGCATAAAATTAAAAAAGCACATATTCAATTTTTAAGGACTGAAAATTAGTTAAAGGATTATATTTTTACAATTCTATAAAAAAAAATTGAATATTATATCCAAAAAAACTTTGATAGTGAAATTCATCTTTTTTTTTAAGTTTCTAAAATTTTAAATTAACCTTGAAAATGACTTACCTAAAATGATCTTTTTCATTATTTTTAAACCTTTAAAGTGAATACTTTTACTAATTTTCAATCTTTAAAAATTGAATTTGTGTTTTTCAAAATTTTATCCAATTAAGATAAGTTTTAAACCACTTTCTATCAAAATATACTTGAATATTATAAAAAAATGTATTTTAAAGTTTTAATTAAAATTTTTAGACTTAGAGTAACATTATTTTTTAATTAGATTATAATGTTTTTGGAAGTTTAAACAATACACCACATATTCTATTTTAAAAAAAATTAAATTTTTTAAAACCTATAGAATAATTTACAAATACTTAAATGGCTTTTTTTAATATTTTAAGCCCTTAAAATATATTTTTAATAATTTTAATATTTAAATGATATAAATTTAATTTTTTACCTTTATGTCGAATCATTGTTTAAGTGTATTGAGCATCGCACCTTTTTTGTTAAGTGTATTGAATCATTATTTAAGTGTCTATAACCAAGATTGTTTTTTTTATCTTTAATTTTCAGTTTGATATCTTTTCACTTTTTGATTTTATTTTGTTTCTCTTTTGATATAAGTAGATGAAGGTTCTCTCATCTACTATGTTGGGAGTCGCAAGGAGTAGTCAAATTCTAGATGTTCGATGTGTGGATTGAGTTTGAAGGCAACTGAGATCGACTTTTGAGATCCAACTAATATGTTGACTAAGTAGTTATCACATGTCAGACTGCCTCCATGTCATGTCCCCATATCATCACCTAAACTTAGGCAAATGCCATGCCACTCATTTGGCTCAATGTTTCTGCAAATACCATCAGAAGATACGTCTAAATACTTTTAGCTGTCAAAAGTAGAACACACATGAATATGAAGAACAAACTTCACCACCAATGTGCATGACAGTGTTGAAGAACAAAGTGCATGACAATGTTTCATGAGGAAGATAGACTATCTGCATCAATTTCTACAGTATGTAATCTTCCACAGCTCAAGATCTTTTCCTCTTTCATACTCTCTTATGTACTGGGGAATCTCTGCAAGATCAATCTGCTTGCCAAGAAAACCAGGCCGCAGTCCATCGATATGTTCTGCATGATCTGCCACCCAGGATCAAAAAGAACAAAAAAACAGAAATGAGAATGTGAGATAGTATTGCCACAAACAACGAATCTTCTGTTGTGGATTGGACCTTCGTCCTCAACGAAAAAGCTCCGAAAATGTGAATAACCATTAGCAACAACATCAAGTTCATCCATGCTGAAGTTATATCGCTTCTCCAAGGCCAAGTACAAGACCTAATGTCGATCATAAGAAAATCTGACTCAACAAATGCAAGTTTCTCCCCACTTTTCTGTTTATAATATTTTTGAAGTGTTATCTTGCTATAAGATCATTATCTTATGCTAAGATTACCTTTTGAGAACCTCTTGACATTAACTTTTCAACCATGCTGAAGAATGAGTCAGTCAGTTCATCGCTATATATCACATCAGCTGCTAAGAGGACTGTTGCATTCTCGGCCTCCTCAATCTCCAAAGATGCCCACAAGTATCTCGACTTGGATGACCTAGGATGCAATGCATAATAGCCAGATAATGGGATTCACTATAAGAATAAAGCTGTCAGGAAAGTAGTTGATTATGCACTAAAAAGAATTGAGAAAACATCAGGGAAATGGGATCTTACTAACTTGAGGACATCAAATCATTATGCAAGATGGATAAGAATGATATCCTCAATGAAGAAAACAAGAAATATTTTCTTTAAAATGAAAAACATAAGACCGTAAAAATTGAAAGGGTAAACTCAAACAGAATGGATCGATCATGTATTGGTATTAATTCCATAAACAAGCTGGAAATCACCTATGTTGAGATGGCAAATCAGCAGTGATACTGGGGGGGGGCCAGGATTCCTTCCAATCAAGCTCCCTTACACGAACAGAGTTTTCACGAAACTTAAGCAGGCTAGAGTTGATATGAGTGTTTGTGTCACAATTATCTAGGATGTGAACTCCTCTATCTGCAAGCAGTGTGAACTCCTCAATGCACATGTAAAAATATGTGAATGTATGTGCAGTGTGGAATCATGAACAAACTTTTATCTTGGTATTTAAAATATTTTAGTAGATAACTGATAACAACACTTCATAGGATTTAAGTGCAAATAAATGAGGCACCTGTTATGTAGACTGTCTTAGCAACTCTTGCAACTGCTATACCAACCAAACCTGGTCAACATTGGAAGTAAATTAAAACAATAAAAGTACTCATCTTTCAGTTCAAGTTATAGAATGAAGTCTCAAGTATACAAGCACAATTTTCAAACTCCATAAAACCAATTGGACTTTACAAGAATTATGGGCAACCTGTTCCGGCACCAAGCTCTATTGCGGTGACATCATTCAAGTCAGATGAGGTGAAACTTTTATGCATGATAAAATCGGTTAATACAAGTGCTGCCTTCCATACCTGAAAACCATAGGAAAATATAACAATTAAGAAAACACAAAGGCAATAATGAAAGAAAAGCCTAAATTAGACATTACTTGTAATCCAACTTCAAGTAGTGATGACGTAATAGTATGTTGGATGGTCAAACCAAAACTCAGACATCCATCTGCAAACAAGTAAAAATCCCAAATTATGTGAAGAAAGTGACCAAGAAATAAGCCAATTATTTCATAATTAATTAATGATTTTCCAGAAAAGAATTTTCAGCCAACAATATAGAGAAAATGTTCCTCTGAGTTTCATTTCGACATGAGTAAAAGCATATTTTAGCCACAGAAACTCTGCCTTCCTGGCACTGCAGTTTTCTTGGCTTGTGTTAACCATAAAGGAAGAATAGCTGGAAGTTGGGTCGGATGATTTTTATTTTCTTGTGTGCATTCATGTGGGGGGTGGAATATCATAAATAAGATAAAAATATCTGAAAGAAGATTATGTTTTAAGAAAAAAAAACAGACAAGCAATGGTTACATTTTGGCGATACTGAACGAAAGGATGGGGGTAGCAAGAGATCTGTAGCTACATGTAAACATTTTTTGAAGGAAGCAACAAAAATATTATGACGAAAACCAAAACATGTGAATATAAATAAACATTTTGTTTCTTATTATAAGTCCAGTTAATTTTCACACCATTAAATTGCATTTCTCTTTGTCAGTTGTATGAATAATTAAATTGTAAGCAAAAAAATAACTCTACGCACTCCCATGGAATTTGTGAAAGCATTTTAAACATGCAGAACCCTTATAACAAAAGCAGCTCATACTTACTAATATGACTCTTTCGCCGAGTTAGAACAAGATCACCATCCTTATCCAAACTAAGAGATTCATCTGAAGTATCTTCCTGAGGGAACTGAGCGCTAGATTGGGAATCTTTATGTTCAACCAAGCATCAGAATCAGATTCATCATCACATGCAAGACATGTCCATGTAAATCAAAGTTAATGTGCTAACACTTACAGGAACATCTGATTTTTCTCTTTGGAGAATGATCATCATGAGTCTCCAAGCTAACCATTTCTTTAGAAGATGCTTCCACTTGGAATCGATCACCAGAACCTTTACCCAGAATGTATCATTTGATAAGCGAAAACTTGGGAAGTGTTAGAAACCAAAGGATGTCTATTTTGTGATTAAGCCAACAAAATGTAGCATGAAAATCTTTATGCTTAAGTTAACGCATGCTTTTAAAGATGAACCAACAATGATATACAGTTCCATATTTCCTCCGATCAAGTTCATGTTAATTTTTTGATCATTTGTAACACTATGCTTTATATAAGTGAAGCATATTTTACAAAGGGTTCTGTGAGGGGGATCCACAAACAGTCACGTATGTCTTACTCATTCTACTATTAAAGAATGCTTGCAAAAGGAAAACATAAGAGACATCACTTACCCAAATTGTCTCTTTCAAGTTAGAAATTTGATTATTTCCAACTCTTTGTTATCACTACTCTTTTCAACCTGTATATGGGGATCCACACAAGAAAGATACATTCTCCTTGATTTTCTGCCATCCTTATTGCATAGAACTTTGCACAAAATAAACTTGTTTGATATGGTGCAATCCGTTTTCAGTTTTTTGTTCCTTGAGCAATTTGAAACATCGATTTGATTATCCTTGCAAACCATAGATTGCCCTTTGATGTCACCAACGTTAGCAGCAATGGACCAAAAAATCAAAGACTGGGCCACAACACTGACTTAAAGAAAATCAAAGATCAGTTAACTGGTCAAAGTTATTGCTGTGAGTACAAATGAACATTTCTTTCACTCCCAGAAAGGAGGATCTCAAATAATGTGTCCTTTCTCCATTTCTCTTGATTCAATGCTACAACTTGTTTTCGCCTACTTATGCACTTACAACTGTCCATAGACGTGCATTTCCATTTTTATATCTACGAAAAAGAAGATATTGTCTGGTTTGAGAAAGGTTTCTTTGTGTTGCCTGGATTTCACAGTGGATCATCTCACCTCTCCTCAGCCTCATCTTATCCCCAAGGTGATGCTTTTGGACTTTATCCTCCTAACATCTTATTGAGTTGACCTCCAAGTCAATCTCTGTTAGATCTAAAAATTTCTATACCACTGAAAGAGGACTCTTGTTTCAGAGATGAAACTACAGCTAGAAGATAAGATATCGCTACCCACGCAACCCCTGTTTTGTAAAAGATACCTGGCATCAAAGCAATGAACACCAAGTCCTCCATCTTTCGAGCGCCTGCGCCAACTCCCTTCACATTCTTAGAAGTGACAGAATAAGAGTTTCGTGGATTTTGAGTTAATATCACAAAGTGAACTTCAAAATTGACTACTAATTCATTGAAAACTTCAGGTTTCAGACGAGTCATGTGACTCCAATAATAGATTATTACCAATTGTAAGATAGTACAAAGTCGTAGATACAACATCTGGATATCTATAAGACTATTGCATCATATATTTGGATGGATAGAAGAAAACGTAGTTTCTTGAAACCCTACAAACTTCGTCAAAAGAACTCTATGCTTTTGATTGCATATAAAGTTCAACAATTGCACTTGCTCCATACAGAGTATGTTAACAAATTGGAACATAAAAAAGATCACTTTTCCACTCCACTGTTTTCCAAGAAGTTTCTGTGGTCGGTCTGCCTAACCAAACTTGTCGATCACAATTATATTTAAAGAACAGAACGGCAGAGTACAATAAAAGTATCATATGGAGGTGCGCAAGAAGAAAGAAAAGAACTACGAAGAATCAATAGGATTTTATGCAACAGTGGAAGCCATGCCAACAAACTGTATGACGAAATGCGTGATAGAATTGTAATCTGTCATAAAAAAATGTACAAGGGACTCGTTGGTTACGGTTAGGTGTTGGGGGTAGGGAGACGGTGAAGTGGGAGACGTAGGGGCCGGAGAAGTGTGGCGGGCATCCGAGGTGCACCTCGCTCATCACCTGCTCCACTCTTTCTTCTTCCTCCATGGCGAGAGGAAAGCGATGCAGCTCGATTTCTGCCCGTCTTCCACGGGCTTTATACGCCCGTCTCGGCCGAAGCAGATCCCAGGACAAAACCACGAAAAATAGTGATGACGTGGAAGTGCCTCATTGGCCGTACCGTGGGCCAAAGCATGCCTCTGGTTAGGATCCTTTCCAATGATTCCACACATCTGATTCTGATCGGACCATCGTTATCCAAGATCATGGCTTATAGGCATCATCCAACGGTTGAGACATGGGGTGGTGTAAGTATTAGTTGGATAGGATCCTCTCAAATCCAATCCAGTCCCGGTTAATAACAAACTCAAAAACATACCCAAAAACAAAAAAAATCATAGATTAAAGAGGCAAAATAAAAGGAAAAGACTGCTCAAATCTAACAAGATCATTACAAGGACCAAGAAATTTCAATTAAGAACTCAAAGAAATTACAATCATCTACATGATGGATTTGATATAGGGGAGCCACTCCAGGCCAAAGAATCAGTTCTACCTGTGCATCATCACACTAGTGAAGCTTCCATGGAATACAGCTAGTCTACCAAATGTGCCAGTTACATTCTATATCGGATAAGAGACTGATGAATTCAAAGAATAGGTGATACGAGCCATCGGTCCCTGCTGCTGCACCAGCTCATGGATGTCTCTCACGATATCGAACACTGCATTTGGTTGTGCTAGTTTGAGTGCATTCTGAGATAACTCCTTCAGTTCCTCCCGGTCGGAGCTAAACCATCGAGCAACAAGGCTGGCTGTCTCCTTTGGGTTGTCAGAGAACACTCCTGCTCCATTGTCTACAACATAAGGTATGTTTCCAACTTCCTGCAAGGGCAAATCCAGATGCAAGCATCATAAGACTTGTAAGACATGCAGAACATGGCAACTCAGCCAAGCATCAGTGTAGAGACTGGATGTCTATGCTATCATCACAGTTATATCAACACCAATCACATTAACTTGCTAGTGTTTGTGTCTTGGTCTTCTTCAATAGCTTTTTCTTCTACCTAATTCATTGCCATTAGGTTATTTGATCAGAACTTCTCAGATACACATGACCTGATTGATAGTCATGAATCAGATACATTTAGGCTTCTTGTATCGTCGTAGGTTTGTCATTAGTTCAAGAATGTCAAAGGCAAAACACATCTTCAAGATCATAAGAAGTCTGCCCTCACCTGCCCAGGAATGAAATCATTTAGGATAATTGGAAGTGCCCTTATTAGAGCCTCTGCTATTGTGCCTGGTCCAGCCTGAAAACAATAACATGTATAAGCTAAAGATCAAAAGCAGACCGAATCAGAGTTTAGTAAAGCCGCATACTTTTGTTATTATGCAATCACAAGCCCCCATCCATTTCTCCATCTGTGTCACAAATCCTTGTATCTGCAATCATAGCTAACCATCATTGGTTGCGTACTAATGCAAGTGGAAACAGTGTTTGATGCAAGAAAAGTGATACCTTCACAGGAACCTTCCACTCGATCGACTGCAATGTGGAGTGTAGAAAGTGATTACGCCCACATATGATGACAATCTGTCCAATAGGTTTGCCGACACTTGCATCAAAGAGAGCTTCTTCAAGAGCAATTGCAGTCTCCTTGACTGGACCCATTCCCTCTCCACCTCCCATTAATAGCACAGCAGGTAATTGAAGGTCCATTTCCAGCTCTTCTCTCAGATCACCCTGTATGCATGCATTTTTCTCTTCAGAAGTGGTAAATCCAAAGATCTAAAATTCCCTCAAAGAGACAAACCTTATTTAGAACTGCACAACAGAAGGATGGCCGAATAGGCAAACCAAAGACACGGATCTGAGAAGGCTCTAATCCTTTCAGCATGGCTCTCTTGGACACCTCCTCTGAGGGGCAATAGCATCTGGTCACATGATCATGGAACCTAGAAGAAAATTCATAGACTAATTTATCACATATCGATCGAAATGCAAGAGTTAGCACCATCCGATACAATTGACACAAAAAGCAAAATAAGAATGGCAAGCTGAGATCCAAAGGAGTAAGATCTGAATTCACCATGTGGGGTGGCAGGTATTGAGGTCTGTGATCACAGTAACAAAAACCACTCTCTTTTGGAGCTTCTGCCATTTGAGCACCCATAGAGGTATGTGCTGCATGAGGGGATGAACACTTATAATTATGTCAGGCTTGTACTTCATTAGACCAGCCTCAACTTCCCTGCACTCCAATTTTTGAACTTGTGGTAAGAACTAGAGTAATTTCTACTCTTCCCAACATATATTGTTTGGAAATAAAAACTTTGGTAGAGTAATTTATCCTTCAAATTGGTAAACAATTTGGTAGTAGGATCGACAACAATTTAGATGGAAATAATAGCAAATCCACATAAGAAATGAAGCAATCAAAATCCAACTAAAGGACAGAATACGGTATCAGACCACAGCACAAAGACACCACTGATGTAGTGAATTCAGACAAAAATTAAGAGGAAGAAGAAGATGAGGGAGAAAGAATATACTTGGCATAGAAGGAAGCAAGGGCTGCAAGATACAAGCAATGGACCCAGCGAGGGGAGGTGCCATGGAAGGCCACCTTCCAGAGCTGGACATGCTTGACCAAGAACTTGTAGGTCCTCTCCATGTTGTTTAGCGGCCAACCGGCATGCTCTTTCCCCAAATCCTTCACAAAAACCTGGCATTTCAAACAAGGTGGAGTTAATCCTAAAACAAAACGAAGGAACTCTCTGTTCTGGCCAAATTGTTTACTGAACCAGAAAAATCCTGCCTTTGTGATGCATCGGATTCAACAATGTTCGAGCAGTATATACTCGTTCGAATTGGAACCACAGAAGGGAATTCAACAATTAGAAATCAGAATTTTGATGATGGTGGTGCTAAAAGCTCAGATCGCAGTGGGACGGAGACCAGCAAAGTCGATGGGTTGATGAGAGCACGAGAACGAGTCCGAGAAGACAGCAGAGGCGAGAGTTGCATGCGTTAGGACTAAAGGAACACGGACCCGGTACTCATCCCCAAACTCGAGGCTGAAGGCGTCGCGGATGGCCTCGGCGGAGGCGCGGTGGCCCCCGCCGGTGTCGCTCATGAGCACGAGCACGTTCTTGGGCCGGTCCGCCCCGAGCTGGACCAGCTCCACGGCGCCCTCCTCCTCCTCGTCCTCCTTCCCCCAGGCCGTAGCCGCCGCCTCGTCCCCTTCCGGTACGCCCGCGTAGAACGAGCACCGCCGCGGGTGGTGGTGGCCTCCGCCTCCTCCGCCGCCGCCCCCGTAGTAGGCGAGCACCCCGTGCAGCACCGCCTCCCGTATCGACCGCCGCGGCGACACCACCGACATCACCATAGTTGGCGAAAGGTAGGCGCGGTAATATCAAAGGCGAACAGAGAGCATGTGTCACAGGCCGCCGGCGGAGGACGACAACCCGAGTCGTGAGTAATATAGAGGGCGTAAACGAACCATATACGACTCCCGGCGACTAGGTTGCGGGTACGAATCATAAAGGCACAAAACAATGATTTGCCGAGCGTCCCTTTGATTAGATCCTGGAATGATGCTTTCCCTTCGCCAGTGGTGGGATGATATCCGTTTGATTCGCATCAAAGAAGGAATCTTGGCCGTGGGATATTCCCTCCCGCCGCGAGCGAGAGCCGCATCGGTTACGGTGTTCTTCAGGAGCTCGTACCCAAACCTGGTGCGGTCCCGGCAGATCACCTGCACAGCACAAACACCGAACGCGAGTTGTCGCCTCTCACGTCGGCCCTTGTCACCTCGCTGCTTCGTGTTTGACTGAAAAAGAGGGAAGGGCCCCACCAACGCATGTGTTGCGTGGACGCTTAGCTCAATCGGAGCCGGGGCCCGGGGTTGGCAGGCGCGGGTCCCGCAGGGCCCCTCCCCAGATGGAGGTTAGTTACTCGTGTCGAAACGGGCGGGACCCGGCCTTAAAAGCACAACGCGCATACGAATCTGTCACTCATCAGCGATACCCACCTAAATTTCTGCCGCGCACGCGGGGCCCACAGGGAGAAGTGAGATCAAGCTTGCGAGGGTATAGTCGCGTGTAGTAATAGACGTGCACATCAGAGTTTAAGGCGATCACTTTGACGTTGTGGGGCCCAGACCGGGACAGCCAATCAATGGACTCGCGCCCCTTTCTCTTCCTCCTGCCGAATAAAGATTCAATCATTCATGGCCATGTACTGTTGCTGTACGTGAGAAGTCAGCAGCAGTCATGGGAAAACGATTTAGAAGCAGACTGTGAGAGAGACCAGTCGAGAGAATATATAGAGATAGAACGCTGGCGTGACGACGAACGAAGATAGATACGGCCACGACCGCAGGAGGGGAGAGAGAGAGAGAGAGTATAATGGCAGCACGAGTCCTCTGCATGCATAGGCAAGTCCTGTTGAATTCAGTGGTTCTGCAAACAACATGAAAAGTTAGTCGTCTACTGTATTCAGATGAGTTTTTGTTGTATATTTTAACTATCTCAATCCAATCTCAATATCGAGGTGAAAAGAAATATGTTCGTAAACTTCGTAATTACTGTGAAATCTTTTAGTCAATTCTAAGTGATAAATATCGGGGACGATGGAACAAGGAAATGATAAAAATATGATACTATGATGCAATTAAAAAGAATTCTTTCGATCAAGAAAACTGATGTAGTATTTAAACAAGATGATTAACATAAAATATTTACAAGATATTCTCAAGTGTATATTATTTATCTTACTTCATGAACTATTATCCTATTTATAGGATCTAGTGGTAACTAACTCACTCCACCATGTCACCCATGATTGAGTTAGGTGTAAGAACTATCCTATAACTACTAGATCATGAGTCACTTCTTAAAACATACCTATAACTACTTAGAACATAATAACTATTTAGATAACTACTATGAATCAATTCTGAATCTGTCGTCCAGGATTCAACAAGACTAAACAAAAAGAAATATTTATGAGTTAAGCAATAGAAAAAATATTTTATATACATCAGTGAACTTTGGCATCACCCAAATATTATTGTGTTGTAATTTGCAGGATAAGTTCAAAGTCATGAAAATAACTTACCTATTTATACATGAAAAATTCTTTTAGGAGATGTATTTAACTTATCCTTTTTTTATTTTTTAATAACTTTTGTTGTGCATTTTATAAAAAATAAATAACGACCACTAACGATAACACTAAAACTTGTTTAGATCACTTAACAGTCTAAAATTATGGTAAATATATTCCTTTAGGAGATGTGTTACTTCAAGCCTTAATTGGGTGCTCATGGTTTGACTTAATGTCATATGTCAAACTTGGTTTGTCAATTCTACCTACATCATTGATCAAGAAGGAACTATTAAGACAATATATAATATTTTATTTTATTTATAAAAAATAATTATCTTTACTATGCAAATCTTGATTATTCAAATCCCAGAGGAGCAATCTTGTAGTAGAGGCTTTTCCTCTAAAATTATTGTTTGTAATTTCTTAATATTCTTATGTTGAAAAAGTATCTCAAAACTTGAGAAATTCAACTTAACTATGTTTTTTTCTTTTAAAATTGACTTTTTTTTTCTTTTTTTATTGAGTGAAGATGTAATCCTCCATTGCAAAAATTCGAGTCAGAATCCAATCACAAAATAGACCGCCAAATTCCGGCCCAAAGACGGTTCGGAGTTTTGTGTCGAGCCGGGCCCAATTAGAACTATCATTAAGCCCGGATGTGGTCACCGACTTCCGGTCCACCCCGGAAGAGTTCACCATCGGAGAGGCCATCGAGGAAACAAACGATCGAACGCAGCGACGGCGATCGGAGTCGCTTGCTTTCTCATCGATGGGATTCGTGAGATTCCTGTGCGGCCTGTGCCTTCTTCTCCATTTGTTCGATGGTAGCTCCCGCAGCTCCGTTTTGGCCGACCAAATCTTCGCGAATTCCGGTTGGTATTCTCTTTTCTGTCCACTTTTCTTCTTTAGTCTTCTAAGATCTATTTCTTGCACTACTGATCTCGATTCGATCGTCAACGTCTCTATCTGTGGAGGAATCGATCTGGCTTTCTTAAAGAGATCTATTTCGGTTGTGCAAGGGTTCTCGGTCCGATACTGGCCCCCTTTTTCTTTAATTGAGAGGTCTAAGTTCAGATGCAATTGTATACCGGAAGAAGATGTTAGCAAATCTACTTCTATTGTCTTACCTGTTAGCTGCATACTTCCTAAATCGCTTCTCTCATAAATTAACGGAAAAAAGCGAATCGTTGATTAGACACTGAATCGTAACGTTGTGTCGGATCTAATGAGCATTAGTCATTAATCTTATCTTTTCATCTCCTAAGAAGACTACCCAAATTTACTCTAGAGAAGTTGTTTCTTGCAGTGAATCTGTAAACGCGTCGCTTTTTGTCCTGAATTTGGAAGAATTATGCAAGAAGATTTCATTGAAGGAGCAGTTTTTCCATTTCAATGTCAATAAACGAGTCTTGCAATTTGTGTGGGAATTGCTTGGGCGTGATATCCAGCGATCACCATCACAATGAAAGAACTGTGTGATTTTCCTGTTGGTGATGTTATAAAAGCTCATGCCCTGTTAAGTGCAGTTAATGGAAGTACAATAAGATGTATGGGTAGTCTTTCTACCAGAAAATAAACAAGTACATGATCAATAAGTTGAGTAGCGCAGCACATAAGAGCTTTTATATGATGTTTCGAGCACCAAATAGAACCAATAGAACACGCACGCACTTCTGATATCGGTCTATGAAGAGTCAGCAAGCACCTTGTCTTTGTGTGCCCTATTTTCCATGAGTCCGTGTTATATCAGATGATTAGGCTTGATAATACTCACATGCGAAATTGTAACAATTAGATGCACTAACAGGATTAAGCTTTAATAGTAGTAGAGAGAGAAAGAGCCTCAGATCTCTAGACTCATAACGTGCAGAGCTTAAGGTACATACCCACTTCTTTCTCGTTCTTTTTCTTGTGATCATTATTTGAGGATCTCATTTCCCAACATGTTTCTAGATTCCTGATGTTGACATGGTAACAATGACATTTATTTGTCAGTTCTATCCCATCTAAGTCTTTTTATGGTTTTTTCCATGTATTTTCTGCTATCTTTTATTGTCCACTAGAAAGAGCATAGTATCTTAGGCTTTAGTTATTGCATGTGAAACCACTACAGTACAACCTAGTTTAGGTGTAGAAGCATCAGATGCATATGTGCCTCAATCCAACAGTCCTTTTGATGCTTAACTCACTATCTTTAACTAATCAAAGTGCTAATCAAACTCTTCGACTAAATTGATGCTTTTAATTTGAGTTACAATGTTCTATTTTACCAAGTGTTAACAATCATTTAATTGGAACTATGGTATTCTTATGTAGTCTCAGATACTGGTTGGCCGATGATCAAGGATTAATAATGGAACCATATAGGTTGCTACCGGTCAATATCTATTTTATTAAAATTATTTTCGATCATACTCCCTGATATAGTGGTTTGGTTGGTTACAAAATCCACTACCAAACTGGTGTTTAAACCCTTTCTTTTATTACATAATCATGTTATCCTTCATCCTCAGTCCATATGTAAATGGATTTTTGGAGAAGAATATGACTGTAAAGAGTTGGTTACATCCAATATTCTTCTCCATTGTAGGCAACATACCTGCAACCTTAAATTCTGGGATCATCTGGTAGGATCGGTTGCAAATAACTCATCGTGTTTTTGCAGAATTTCTCATGTTGAGATGTTTGTGTTACAGTCTTACAGATATATGTTTTTTAGTTGCCCAAACATATTCCATAGAACCTCTGAGATATTAATCAAGTTGCATTTTAGTGTTCCAGTTAAACAAACAGCCAAGTGGTTGAGTAGTCATGCTATGTCATAATGGTTTTGATTGTATGCCTCCACTAAATCACATCTCAAACTGTCAGATAATTGTATAATATTCTTGTCATAACCATAATTCTTTTAAAACAGACTATCTTTACATTTTGGGATGAATTTTTGCCTATAACTTGTGTATTCATGAATTTTATGGTAAACACTAATGGTTTAACCAATAATGGGTGTGTTTTTGTTGTTAAATTATTGTTCTTTCTTCTGTTGCCTATAGGTGGGAGATTCGGTAGGAGTTCTCGTGAACCAAAGTACAAGGTCGAGTTCCACCCAGAACATTCTCCTTTTCATCCGGTAAGCATGTTATATGGATTTAAGTTATATCTATTCCACCCAGAACATTCTTTTTTATATCCGTTAAGCGTGTTAGATAGCCTGTAGTTCTATCTGGCACATAGGAATTTACCAGACTCATGTTGAGCAAAGTTCAGATGAAGTAATGCGTGAGTTTTGAAGTAGAGAATAGCAGATCAATTCAGATTTACCGCATATAATTGTATAAATTATCATATGGCTAGTAAAGCATACAGATAGGTTTGGTAACCGTACAAGCATTTGTGGTCTTTCACAGAATATATAAAGGTGTAATACAGATGATATTATGATATTCCTAGGTACTTAAAGAAA